AATAAAAAAAATCATCTATACAACATTTTATAATCTGTAAAAAACTACGATATTGCTAATACAGAATACTGCTTATATGTAGTATGATCGAGGTCCACTCGACACCTACTATACAGCATAAAGACTTTCCCGGTTTTTTTTATAACTCAAATGTGTATGTTTAATAATAGCGATGAGTTTTTTGTATAGATTAGTACATTTGAATTACAAAAAAAGCGGGTAAGTGGATGTCGCTCTGCTGTACAGAAGGTTACAAGTGGGTCATGGATGCTATTAAATTTGAATTCAACAATATAATATCATTGTATACGAAAAACGATTCTGAGCGGGGACGGTATGTCAGTATAAGACATTTTATATTATGTTTGTAAATTTTTTAGATTTCGCTCCGCTCAGAATTTAAAATTGGTTTTATTACTTATTTATTATTAAAAATATAATAACTGATAAGTATTTAAATTGTTTGCCTGCAACGGATTGCGAACCTAACTAAACCATCGTTGTCCTATACCAATAAAAAAATATCAAAGACAAATAGTCACATTTTTTTTGTTTTAAAAGCATTATTGCAGTTCATATTGTATTGAACATTGTATAATTTAGAAAAAACAGATTTTTTTAATATTTATTTTATTAGTAATTTTGATCCCTAATAGCGCCGTTATGGTTATTTAAGGGTTAATGATAAAAGTATAATACAAGACTTTTATCCATTGTCACCAGAAACTTTTACAAATATATTCGAACCAATATTCAGAGTAAGTACCATAGTCTCAGAAAACGGTTCGACTTCAAGGTAAGCGGGCTGTCATTACTATTATTATTACGACAATATATGTGCTCGGTCGAGAAGACCACTCGTTTCCATTGACAGCGCGGTGACAGTAAAAGTGCGGCGAAAGTTAATTAAGCTAATTGGCCTCGATGTGAAATTAACCCATTTCGATGGAAACGCACGCCGCGGCCGCCGCCATTATACGAAACCGATATTTGCATAAAACACGATACATTCTACACTGTATCGTGTGTGCATGATAATTACACGCCCACCTAACAATGTAATACCTAGTATAGGTATCAGTGTTCCAAAAGGAACGAATTCCTTTTTATAAAAAAAGAACGAGAAAATGAACGAGTTCTTTTTTTCAAGGAAAAAGAACGAAATTTTTCGTTCCTTTCAAGTTCCAATTTACACAGATATATAAATAATTGAAATTCAAATATTTTAGATTCTGAGTGGAACGATGAATGTATTGATTTTACAATGATGTGTGTTTTATTATTTTTTTATTTTTTTGTGTCTGTGTACACGATAAGTAGTCGAAATAATGCTTCGATTTTCAACTTCAGTACCTTGTTCGATTGGAAAGTGAATATCGTTGGGGAGGTCAAAATTTAAATTTCCCAGTAGTTTTCAAAAGCTAAATCTAAGATATGAAAATGTAATACAAGATTCCTTATAAGATTTCCTACATTTATCAAAAAAAAAATTCTATAAGAAAGTCAAATTAAATTTTTATGAGCGTTTGAAATTCAAACTTTTACAACATTGGATATTCACTCGATTTCTCATGTGGCGATTTCCTTATTTTGTTGTAATTCAAAAACGAATTACTGTAGATACATGAAAATTTCACTGAATGTTTATATTAGCATTTCCTATACACCATACAGTTTTGAAAATATTTTGACTCTTTTTGAGCCGTTTACGGACATTTACAGTTTTCAATTTTTTTTTTTTTTTTTTTTTTTCTATAAATATCAATAAAGTTTTATCTGTTGGGCCTAAAAGTGTAAAAAATTAATACAAGGCTCTTGATATATTGTTACAATAGCAATTGAAAAATATTAAAAATACATAGGCACAATTTATTTTTATAAGCATTTAAAGATCGCATTTTGACAAAATTTATCAAAATCTCGAAAATTATCAATCATCGTAATTAATAATTTATAAAAAAAGATTTATATCTAAAGATTGAAAATTTAAATCTAAAAAATACATAAGCATTAAGCACAGTTTTTTTATAGTCATTTTAAGTTCAAATTTCGACGAAATTACAAATTAAAAAACCTAGAATAACTATTTTAGTTATTTTGTTGCGATTGTATAATATTATTCGTGGGTATTTGAAACTTCTAAAGTGTACTATTATATATCTATGATAGTATCACGGTTTGTTGTTTATGTATAACACTTATAAGTACCTAATGGATAATTGTGATATGATTAATTTGGAATTTATTATAGGTACCTATTATAGGTCAATTTTATTTTAATACCATAGATATGTATATATAATATGTCGTATACCTAGACTGACATACCGTCTCCGCTCAGAATCGTTTTTCTTATACAATGATATTATATCGTTGAATTCAAATTTAATATCATCCATTATATTATAGTTATCCACTTGTAACCTACTGTACAGCAGAGCGACACCCACTTGCCCACCTTTTTTTTTTCTTAGTGTGTATATTTCCAATATTATGATCGTTATCGATTATGGAGTATCCGAGTATCAAACTTAATCGTTAAAGTTAGTCATTAATCATTAGGTAGGTACTCTGGTACAGGGTTCTCATTACTTATTACTTATTAGTAACTTTATTAATATTTCTCATAAGTCATAACTCATAAATTTTAACTTAATATATAGAAATGGCTACATACTATTATATTATTACATTATTACTATATAAAATATAAATCCTTGTCGTTGCGTCGACAGAAAATAAAACAGCATGAACACTGAAGACTGAACAATAAAATCATTTATGAATTATTATGCGGGTCGGGACTATTGTAATACCTAGTACCTACAGCTAGAATGTATAATAATATATTACTATATTAATAAGACGTTACAATATTATTTTAATGATAATTATTTATAACAACAATAAAATATGATAAGACAGTTGACATACGTTGGCCAGCAATTTAATTTTAAAGAAAATCTCAAAATAGATTACTAAAAACTGCTGTCAGTATTATTTTCTTAAAGTTAATAGTAAATTATAAATTTACTTGTAGGTATGTATAAGTATAATTAAAAATTAAAGTACCTAAGTATATCTGTTAAGAAAAAAAATTGATGATTAAATAAGAATTTTTATTTTATCTGGAATTAAAAAAGGAACTAGTTATTTTTCCAAAGGAACGACAAAGGAACGAATTCTTTTTTTTAAAAAGGCACAAGGAACGGAACGAATTCCTTTTTATAAGGAACTTGACAAACACTGATAGGTATATTATACTTTTAGACGATATTGTTTCGGGCGATCCCGTATTCCACGCGCGTCACGCGACGTACATTACCCAGGCCCCCCTCATTGAACTTTTTACATAAGAAACTAGGTTACGAATTAGCACTCCATTAGCATGTATTTGCACGACTATTTTTAGAATTTGCACGACTTTATTTTACGAGTTATGTATAAAAAACTGTGAGGGGGGCTGGCGTAACGTTACCCCAGCCCCCCACAAGTGAAACAATCACTTTTTTACAAATTTTTTTTTACCAAACTTTAGCACGCCATAAGCACGCATTTGCACGACTGTCGCCGAACCCGACAATTTTCCATTTTCCCGGGAAAACCCGTTTTCCACTCTTACGCATTACCCCAGCCCCCCTCATAAGGAAAACATCACTTTTTTATAATTTTTTTTTTACAAAACATTAGCACGCCATTAGCATGCATTTGCACGACTGTCGCCGAACCCGACAATTTTCCATTTTCCCGGGAAAACCCGTTTTCCACTCTTACGCATTACCCCAGCCCCTCTCTTAAGGAAATAATCACTTTTTTATAATTTTTTTTTTTACAAAACATTAGCACGCCATTAGCACGCATTTGCACGACTGGCGCCGAACCCGACAATTTTCCATTTTCCCGGGAGCGTATTTACGTTCTGTACATGAATCTAGCACTCGGTGCCAAATCAACGTATAATCCGGAGCTGTAATTTCTGTTCCGTTTTATACACGAGTTTAGCACTTTAGCGGTAGTCAGCATACAATAGTGTGTAACGGTATTAAATTAAATTAAATTAAATTAAATTAATTACATTAATATAATAATACAATTATGTTAGTGTTTGTAATTAAATATTATTAATATATTTTTTTTTACACACTAGTTACACATTTTTATAAATCAGCTTAAGTATTAAAGTATATAATAATAAAATAATGTTAGTCCTAATGTTAGGGATTCGATTCAGCGTATTTATTTCATGATTTAGACCTAAAAGCCTGACAAAAATACGCCTACTTAGAATTATCAGATTTCAATTCTGTAAAAAGATTCGAGTTCATTGACAATTTTCCTAGGTTATTGTGGGAATCAATTTTCGATATTTTTTTTAGAATTCACGTTAAATCATATTTCGATTTCTCAATTTTTTGAAAATTGTTTGTGTCTTTCTTTAAAAAGTTAAACAGTTATTCAAAAATCGACTCCCACAATAACCTAGAAAAAAGAACGATGAATTCAAATATGTTTACAGAACTAAAATCCGATCATTCTAAGTTATCGTATTTTTGTCAGGCTTTTAGGTCTCAATTGATTGAAATTAGTTTCTCGTTGGAACAAATATTTTATTATGTGACATGTGCATGCGGGTGCGAACCACTGATTCCGAACGTATCTACACACACTAATGATCATTTACTTCGCACACAAACACACTGCGAAACGACTATAATACATCGAATTGCCTATACACGACCCCTTATTAAATCACCGGATCGAATCCCCTTAATTGTTATGATTTATAACTGTAAACGGTGATTAACTCATAATGTTCCGTAGTAAATGACAATACTTTTAAATAACAGTAAACAATAATAAAGTTAAATTGTAATTGTAAATAATTTAGAGAAACAAAACATACAATCACCAAAATCTTTATTCAAAATATAACTTATATCTTTAAGTTTAATGAACCATTGTCATGAATATTGATATAGAATAACTGTAAAAAAATAGATTTAAATTGTATACAATAAAAATTCACATGGCACTATAGTTGTATCCTTAACTGACACAGGTTTAATTTTTAGGTCATCATACAACTCCCAGTTTCTTGTATCACGTTTTGCGTAAGTTGTATAATGGCCAATTGAATGTCTGAGTTTTGATTTTCCCTGACGGAAAGGTATCACGCCACGAAGTTCGTACGTTATTGTTTCGCATATGATAATAGGAGGAATATCACACAATCGTACCAGAAAGATATTTGCTGCTTCACTACTCACTACGACATTTTCTCCTAGAAATAATACAATTTTTGAATGCATAGTTTTTAGTAATATATTACTTAAATTTAATTTAATTACCTTCCCAATAAAGGATATCAATGAATAAATTCAATTTTGAAATATTTGTTTTAACAGACCTCAGATTTTCACAGCCAATTTGTGGACAATTAATAAAGTCTGTTTCAGTACGTTCATCCAAAAATGTCTGTAAATCATCTAAACGGCCTTCTTTACCCATTTGGTACGTTAGGTACATGATTGATCTCTCAGATTTTTCACATGTAGATGATATGCACTCCGTTACCTCTTTGGCTGATGGAATGTAACTAAGCAGGGTATTTATAGCATGACTCATTGTCGCATCACATGTCACTAAGGAGTTGCCATATTCCAATTCTTGAACATCAGGACTCATAAATGTAATTATGATATCCGCTCTTTTGCTATACGTAGATTTTGATACTCCATCCGTTATAATATTAGAAATGAAATTCAAAAACTCTACATGTTTACACATATTATTATGCGCTGTTGCAAATTTGTAGCTATCACAATAAGACACCTGAAAAGTGAGGAATATAATTAGTGAAAAGGGGTAAGTATATTTTTTATATAAAGAAAAATAATAATACTATGTTATTTGTAGATATTTTAACTTTTTGTAATTTTTTACTTCAAACTTTTTAAATTGCCATTAAATAATAATTAAAAAAGTTACCATACAAATTATAAAACTGAAAGTTAAACCTATATATTTAGTTGTATGTTTTTATACTACTTGAACATAATATTGTATAATGTTTTTTTTTTAAAAAAAAGTATTCATATTTTCTCAATAAAATATTAATGTTTCCTCACTTAATAGTTTAAAATAAATGTTGTATTATTCAAACAAATGACTATTATTTTTGAAATTGTAATTTCAATATAATGAAAAACTTAATTTAATTAATCCTATTATATTCCCTATAGAATGAGTTTATTATAATATACAATTTATAAACTAATTAAAATTATATTTTATATCTATTAATAATAAACAACAAACCATCAATAACGCCGCTAATGCATCAAAAGCACAAGTATTGCTGAAAATTAAATTGCCTTCTCTTGATTTGCAACTTTTTAATTCAGCAAACCTTGAACCATTTTTCAATATTGGTAAGGTTTGTTTATTTTTTGCAGTACTTATATTTAGATGCCGTAAGTGGGGGTTTGGATTGAGATAAGAGTTGTTTTTTCTTTCCTTTTTGCTTTTTCGGTCCCAGCTTTCAACAGCTCTACTTTCTTCGATCGTACAATTACCAGGTGGTATTTTGATAAACTGCAATGATTGTGTTTGTAGATTATCATCCGATTCTAGCTGTAATTCTACAGTATTACTATTCTTAATAATTGGCCTTTCTACCACATAATATAAGGCATCATAAGGAGGAGATTTCGTGCGATTTGCAATGTACATGTTGTCATTTTCATTTAAATTATTTGAAATAATTGTTGGCGATGTACAGCTATGGCTATCATCAATTGTTTCACATGGTTCAGGCAATGAAGAAATCACTATATTCTTACAGGATGACCATAACAAAGCAGCTCCTTTTAGCGATTTAATTTGATTTTCCAAAAAATGTTCAAGATCAATCGGAATTGAAATATGTTTGAATGTTACTGTTTTAAGCTTCTTGAAGCTTGATTCAACTGCTGCTGAAGTCGAAATATCATCACCATAACCGAATATCGAAATCATGATACCCGACCATAAGGGTAATAATTTCATACTTTTAATAATGTAAGGGGCCAATGTTGGTAAGTACAAAGGGTTTATCCCTGAACCTTCTTGTATGGAACCCTTACTTCTGTTATGTATATTGTCGGCCCACGATTGAAATGGGTTTTCATATTCATCTTCTAAAAAGTTCCGAGATTCATCCTCCGTCTCTGCAGCTGCTAATAAGTCGTTAAATTGCTGTTCAAACAGTACAAGACCTGTAGAAGTAGCGTCAATAAGTATTTTAGAATTCATTTCGCATGGAGTCTGGTGTGGTATTGGTCAAAATCACTCAATTAATATTTAAAACGACAATGAATGTCTTTGTCCAACAACTATTTCGCAGTTAAGCTTTTCAATATAATATAATTTTTATTTGTAGGTAGAATGTAGATATAAATGAAAAGTGTACAGATCATTGATGCTTACTGAAGTACGATTATTCATTGTATAATATAAAACATTTATTTCGTACATAATAAATTATTTTTAATGATCGTGAAAATAATTCATAGTTTATTTTTAATAATTCCTGGTAGTTTTAAGGGCACAAAAATATGATGTCTCAGAAGTGGTCTTTTTCAACACAATTGCATTAAATTAAAATAAAAATTATACATGCACATTGCACATATCTATCCGACCATACACATTGTGAGAAGCCTGCAAATGCGTGCTAATGGCGTGCTAAAGTTTGGTAAAAAAAAAATTATAAAAAAGTGACTGCTTCTTTTTGGAGGGGGGCTGGGGTAATGCGTAAGAGTGGAAAACGGGTTTTCACGGGAAAATGGAAAATTGTCGGGTTCGGCGACAGTCGTGCAAATGCGTGATAATGGCGTGCTAAAGTTTGGTAAAAAAAATTTGTAAAAAAGTGATTGTTTCTTTTTGGAGGGGGGCTGGGGTAATGCGTAAGAGTGGAAAACGCATTTTCCCGGGAAAATGGAAAATTGTCGGGTTCGGCGCCAGTCGTGCAAATGCGTGCTAATGGCGTGCTAAAGTTAGGTAAAAAAAAATTTGTAAAAAATTGATTGTTTCACTTGTGGGGGGCTGGGGTAACGTTACGCCAGCCCCCCTCACAGTTTTTTATACATAACTCGTAAAATAAAGTCGTGAAAATTCTAAAAATAGTCGTGCAAATACATGCTAATGGAGTGCTAATTCGTAACCTAGTTTCTTATGTAAAAAGTTCAATGAGGGGGGCCAGGGTAATGTACGTCGTCACGCGACTACGAGAAAATTTAGAACAATATAGTTCGAGACCATCGTCGTCGTCATTACATTATTGGGTTTAAACGTCTTCGCTGTCGTCGTCGTCGTAATATGATAATATGATGATAAATATAAGCAGGTAGATTATAACATAATATATATTATTATTACTATAGTCGTTCGTCTGACGACGGCTCGTTAACCGAGACGAAAAAGCCACTGATATTTAATGCGTTTGTGCACGTCGTCGATTTCACTGAGTTCGGCGCACGCGCGCCATTACGTAAATCATGATAATAATATTATATAAATAATATTAATAATAATAATATGTATTTTACGTGTACCGTGAAGACGTATGTACCACATATAAAATATCATCTTACCGCGTGATACCAGCTATTACCTTATACACTAGACAAATAACAGTTTCTATGGCTGTTTGACCTGCACATATGATGTGCCTATATTATGTTCTTATTATAAATCGTTGTAACTTGTAGGAACGAAAGCCGCGAATACGTAATCATATATATTTTCATCTTGTTTACGGTTTACCTTGCGAAATGACAGTAGGTATATCGTTATAATAATATGTACATCGTATCTCTCGATTTCAATATATTATGCGAACAACTCAAAAATCTAAACGAACGAATTAAATTTCAAATTTATTTAAATTATTTATGTCAATTTATTACTACAGCACCATGCCGATAGGTATATTCCACTTATTATATTTTAATAACACAATCTTTATGCAATTTTTTCCGTGCTTGACATATACGTATAAACTATAAACAAACGTTTTAATAATTCCTCAAAAATGTAGGATAGGACCTGTGTGTGTGTGTGTGTGTGTGTGTTAGTTGATATTGTATAGTATTCCCAAGTACCCAAGTTGACCTAAAAAAACACCTATATAAATACATTTAGTAGGTATACCTACTAACCTATACATATTTCAGTTCAATAATTCAACTTTTTTCTTCGTAAATAATTTATAGTATTAAAAAAAAAGTAATAATAAAAATCTTCGTGTGTATAACATATATATTTTTAATGTCCGAGTTTTATTGTCATTCAAATTTAGTGCACACACGAACAAACATTTGCTACATGGTTGTAAAATGTTTAAAAATGCAGTTGGTCCAGGCGCGTATATAATAATACCTAATAATAATAATAATAATATACACCTATACCTTATAATGCCTTAAAGTTGATAAGTACCTCGCGCGGTTTTGGTATGTTCGAGTCGTCGTACGGGAACGAGCGATACAAAGAATTTAAAAAAAAAAAATACACATAAAACCTTATTATATTATTATAACGCTACAAAACAAATGATATTTTAAATTTTTATCGAAACGACCGAATTCATTAATCTTCTTTTGTGTCAGCACAGGTTTTGACGTTATCTCATAGGTACTTATATCGGAGAAATACGACGTCGTAAATTACAAGAAAATACCCGGCCAATTTACACCACCTGTAGTACCTATGGGTCCGCTACGAAAAGTCTATAATAGTGGCCCACAACCGAAACCACCTCGGAGGTATTATTAATAATACCACATTCCCGACTTATTATTCACGATTTGGCATATTATTGCCACATAACTCGTACTATCGCGGTATATGTATATTTTAAAATGTTTAAAAATCGGCTGATTTTGAAATATGAGACGCACAAACCTAGTTTGGATTTTGAGAAATTAATTATTACACGGAAAATTGATTTTAAAGGTTTGTAAATGTAATTTTTATTTTTTATTAATCATTTATATCAGTCGTTAATATATTATTTTGTTATACATTGAACCCTGTAAAAAGCCATTTCAATATTTTAACAAATTAAACGATTATTTTATTTATTTATATATCTTACATCATTATGGTCAGAAGTGGTCAAATATGTATTTATGACATGAAAGAAGGACATTTAAATTAAAACCATCAAAATATTATATCGTTGTAAACAAATCAACTTCTCATCTGTAAATAATCTAAGATGATTGAGGTTTTAAATTGGAGCGGATCAAAATATTATATTATATTTTATTTTATTTATTTTAAATTAAAAATAAATCTTTCTCAGATTTCTTGATAAGGTAATTCATAAATCTAAAAGTATTATATAATTTACTTTGAATAATAAAACCTCTTGAGATCGTACTAAAAATCATAATTAAAATTAAACATCTTTGGTTTAGTCCGAGTTTTAAACCAAGCCGAAATCTAAAAATATTTATTATTATTTCACTTTGCAAAAGTGTAAATGTTTCTTTGTTAGTGGAATATTAATTAAAACAAGTCGTTTATTATCGTCAAATGAAAACACTTGAAAATGTAATAATAACAATAATTGTTACTTACACTAAAAATTGTATTTTATTTACTCATGGTTATATTATTTTTCTTATCTTTAAAACTATTGCATAGATAAACACGTTTCACCAGTCGTGTTTGTATAATGACCGAAAACTGTGTACAATGTATATAATAATATATTATAATATAGGTATATACCTATATATTCGAAACAGTTAAATATTCATGAGTCATACGTGTAAACCTATACATAAATAATAGGAATTTTAATTAAACGTTTCTGTTGCACTGCAGCCACTAGAAAAAAAAATTTAAAGTCCTTCTCTATAATATTATAATGTAATATTGTGTGTTTATCATTCAGCAGTATCAATCAAACATGTATATAGATCATTATAATATATTTTATTCCAAGCATATTACAAGTGCGGGGAACAGATTTATATAATAGACTTGGACACGTTTGCAATTAATTATATAAAATATATAATATGTATACGCTCTATGTGGTGTGTATTACACGGAGTACAGGTAGGTATGCGAAAAATATAAATTATTTGTGCGGCAAATAACGTAATTTAGTGGACACCTGAAGCCATTATATAACCTATTATTTATCTAATATTTATGAACTAAGATGGAAACAATTTGAACAAAAAATATATTAAAAAAAAAAAAAAAATTATGATTCCAGCTACCTGGTACAGTACAGTCGGTATAAATTAATATAAGCTGTTGAATAGGCGTGCGCACAGGGTATGCAGGGTATGCCGCTGCATAGTCTGCGGCTTTATATGAGGGGCCCAATGGCCCATATATAATATACCAAAGAATTTTTGATAATATCTTCTATATTTTTCTTAAATTTTAGTTTTCACTTTTCTCATGACCGGCAAGATAATCTAAACTATTAATACACTAAAGCGTAACACGTAGATATTGTTATCTATGTTGCAAGAATAGAATAATTATTATTGTTTTTATAGTTCGTACTTCGTAATCAAAAACCATATTATTATTATAACTGAGTCCGGTACTATGTCACAAGAACGTCTTGATTCACTGATGTTAATATTTATCGAGCAAAAAATGGCATCAGAAATCAATATTGAAGAAGTACTAGATGAATTCAAAACATGTGTGCCGATAAAAAGAAGACTTGAACTTTAGAGTTTAAATTTTAAGTACTTTCCATGAAATAACAACATTATTAATATGTTAAAATTATTCAAAAACATTCATACTAGTATATACTTGATCAAATTTTCTTTAAATAAATATAATTCAAATTTCAAACTACTGATTTCTACAGCGCGTTGTTTAATATTCTACTGTAAAACTATGTGTGATTTCAGATTCCGAGGGAAGCAAAAAAGCTAAGCAGTATATTTGCAAAAACTTAGATTGTAAATTGAGTTCTATGTGTTAAATAAAATGTTTAACGGCTTAGAATAGTTTTTTAGAATAAATTAAGGAAAGATTAGAATTTGTGAGGGGGCCCTATTTTCCTTATTGCATAACCTGCGAATAAAGTCTGCGCACGCCTATGAGCTGTTCGGACGATGGTTTATTCATCGGTCGTTCTTTAAATGTTGTAACGACCACTAAATATATACATGACGCGCTATCTAACCAAAACACGACACAGTACAACAGCCGCTCATCAGTGTCAATAGAGTGCGCACTTCCCCGAGGGAAGACTGCGCACCAAT